AATTAATGACAGATATCCAGTGTTTAGCTTTGGGATCTATCCAAATGACGTAGCACTAAGCAAATGGCCCACTAATGGTCTGTTGAATAGCACAAGCACTCAATCTTTGCTTGATTTACAGCTCGCAACTGAGAGAGAGATACGTGTGTGGGGTGAGGGCATTGGGTACTTTCCACTGTCTATACTATTGCATGGCTTATCCGATTACACTTAGAGAATTAGTACTGGATTTCTGCAAAGTGCCCTGAAAAGTCCCACATGAAAGAGAACACAAGGAAGTAAATGAGAATTTCTGTGGTACAAAGTGACCAAAACTACTAGGGTCTCTCATATTCTCTTCTTTGAGATTAGGCCTGTTTCTCCAGTTGCCGTTGATTTGTGTGCGACTTTCCTAAGGTGCGTGAGCAAAAAGGAAAGATAATGTAGCAAAGTTTGTAAACCTGTGTTTGAGTTCCCTAGTATCACGTGACTTCATGTAGCTGAGGCCACAAGTCTTAGCCTTGCTAGAGTAAGTAGCATATCTGCTAAATTTTCACAGATGGCAATGAATTTTTTTATTGCAATGGGTAGCATAGGATTATTACTAGGTGTACTTTTAGTGACGAGATCATCTACATCCTCTGCAGAAACTGTTTCAGAGCAAATCAGAGCCCATCTCGGTAGCAAGCAGTGTTTTCTGAATGGTGAACAGATTCTATTAAGTCTTGCTAGGATGGTCTGTGTGCCTTTGCCCATGTAACTGTGTCTTTCTTGTTGAGATGTTGAGGTTTATTTTTACTTATCCATCTTAAAAACTTTTGTATTTCTGTAGAAAGTGAATTCCTGTTTAAATGCTTTGCTGTGTGTTCTTCTTGTGAGCAATGTGAAGAAAAAAGGAAAAGAGCCTTTTCAAGACTCTAGTTGTTTATGGACTTGATCAGAGACCACGAGACATAAGCTTTTGTATAAAGCTAGGACGAATACCTTTTGGTTGCTGAAACACTTGCATCGTTGAGGCACGTTTCTCTGACCCAGAGAGAAGCCAGGGCAGATGCAGCTCATAGTTGCCTCTCGGTACCAAACTATGGGGACTGTTGGGTCCAAACTTGAAAAACTGATCTTAGTATTTCAGCCAGTTAATACAGCTGATGTGAGCAGCATTTTTTTTTCCTTAGAAGATAGATGTTTACTGAAGAAAAAAATCAGTGAAATCTGTTCTTAAGATTTTGATTGTTTCAGGCACTTACAGTTGTTAGTCTTAAGGAGTTAAGAGGTTAACCAAGGGCTGGTCAAATGCTAAACAAAAAAGAAAAGGAAGAACAGTACAGAAAGGAAGATGCTTCCTCATTTCATGATGCTATTGAGGGAGGGACTTTTAAAAATATATATAAATGAGACCTATATCAATGTAGTGTATATAACTGTTGACCCAAAAAAGCAGATACACAGGAGCTGGCCACAGCTTTGCTTCTGGAAAAGTGCTCCCATGGTGAATACCCTCACCTCCAAATTCCCATCCTTACTAGCAACAAAAAGCTCTTCCTATACACGCAAACTGTACAAAGAAGAAACAGATCCGCCAGCAGGCTCCAAATCCCTGCTGAGTGCTGTCATCAGCCTGCAGGGATGGCTTCATCACAGCCTCGCACCAATGGAAATCTCCTTTGTTGGGCAGAATCCCCTACTTCGGCCAGGTTTGCCTCTGATTTTGGCTGCCAAAGTATCAACCTAAGCCTGATCCCTGAACAGTGAGTCAGCCTTAAAAATACACTGCATAACTGAACAGATACCTCCAGACCTGCGCTAGGGAGAATATTAAAGAACTAGTGAAGTCACTACAATGTTAAGAGCCAACTGATACGTTTTCTGACACCAATCCAAAGGTCAAGTCTCTATTAGGGAAACTTTGAAGAATGTAGATGAATCATCTCCACAGCCTTGCTTATACTCAGCAAGCTGCCCTTGAAGTAACTTACTTAAACATGATTTAAAAGCGGAATTAATTTTATTATAAGCTATCTCCATGCTTGGCTTAGACTAAAGAAAAAGCCTGGAGCTTCCAAGCTTTTGATTATAGAGCAACTTATAACTGCTGCCAAGCCAGTTATTGCTGTGGTATTTAAAGGCTTGAAATCTCTTCCTCTGCCAAAACTATATTTAGCCTAGCTCTATTTAATGCTGCATTATTTGCCATTTTTGTCCAGGTTAATAAAATCATATATGTAAAAAGGTATTTTCCTCTGAGAAGTTTTCCACCATTTCTTAAAGTTGTCCCACTTATGCTTGAATTGAGACCTTCCTATAAAGATAAGTAATCTGTGGAACAGTGGGAGGGAAAGAAACATCTGTGTTATCCCTAATGTTAAGTTGATAATTTGGCATTAACCATTCCCCAGTCAGACCCCAAAGCTTGAGTCTACTTAACTCAATATGGAATTTTAGCTCCATCTTAAACATCTATCTTAACTAGCATGCCCTTTCTTTGCAATCTAGGGGATTAAATCACTAGTGTCACACAACATTGTGCAGACAAAGGGTCAAGAAAGATGCTTCCCACAACAGCATAAAGCACTTGAAACATGTCCCAGCTCCTGAAGAAAGCTTTGGTGTGGGAAGAACCTTGCAACACAGTAAATAGTTCCAGGTTGGGTTTAATTGACCTGGAGATGATCTTGATGAAGATAAGAGCTTAACATGATAAGCATCTTATGCTGCTTAGTTTTTGCTAAAGCACTGCTCATATAACATCTCTACTGTTGCTTTCAGAAACAAAAACTCTGAGTATATAGAATTATAATAGAAAGAAAGTAGCTTTTTGCTGAAGTGACCTATAAAGGAAACATGCCTGGAAAAAGTCACACTGAATTCTGTTTACAAGGATGACAGCCAACTCAGACAGCAACTGTACACAGATTTCATGGAAGAAGGTTTTCCATTTATTTTCAAGCTACAGAATAAAGTTAGATTGAAAAGCACCATCATCCATACAGTTATTTCAGAACACCTCCCTCCTCCTGCACAAAACGTGGCTGCTAGTGAGAGGTGCTCAGTTTTCATAAATAAGCAAACTTGGGATCTGGAACTAGCTCAGTGCAAGGAAGCCCAGCTGTGGTGGCTGCTAGTAGTCTTCTGATGCCACTAAAAAAGAAATGGACTTGAAATGAACTTCAGTGCCAGCTGCCTCCCTTTGCCAGACTTTGTCCATTTCATGCGCAGAGTCTTTGGGGGCTGTAACATGATTTTGCTGATTTAAGGTTTTGGCTGTGTTTTCATTAGCCGATACTATACTGCACTAGGGTAAGAGCTACAGAGCAACGCGCAGTGCTGAGAACCTGGTGCTGAGGTGGTGTTCGAGCACTCACTGAACAGGCTGAGGACACTGAGAAGGAATCAGGCTGGTGCCCTGTGAGTATCTGCACTGCAGGCCAGACCATGGCAAATCACGTGCTTGCCTGGAAAGCACAGGTACCTTCAGGTTTGATGAGGAGGTTAACCAAGTGTCATATGTACAATCTTAGTGCTGTATTCCGGCTCATCTCCATTTTGATGCTATTAATTCACAGAATGCTTAAAATCAGTATGTTCATCTAATTACATGTTTGATGTGTATGTTCATCTAAAATTATTCTGCTTTCCCTGTTTTCCTTTCAGGTGCAGCAGTCCTTTTGATGTCATATCTAAGAAAGCCATCACTAAGAGCATTACAGTTGCATAGCAACCTTAGGACAGTAACTAACTAGTTTAAAGCAGTTCTACGGAACTGCTCCCTAGCTTTATATTTCTTTTCCAACAGGGGCATTGCAGGATACATTGTTTTTCTAGTATTGCAACCAGCAAAACTCTGGAAAAAAACGTATGCTGTGTTTTATTACTAAGTAAGATATCTGCATGGAGCTCTTATTTCTGGGCACTATTACCAGATTACTGCACCAAGATATCTTGAATTACCCAGTACTCACACATAATTTCTCTGCAAGCCCCACTGAACTCTAATAATCCAAGGAGGAAGATGTACAAAGTACTACAGAAACCCTCTATGCATGAAGGGTTCAGGGGAGATGCGGCTGACGCAATGAAGTGTTAGCAATCCCGGTAAAGGGGTAAAGCTGTATCCCCAGCTACAGGGGATAAAAGTTCTTCACAGACAAACCTGACATGGACATACACAACATACAAGTTATATATTCCCAGTTTTGTTTATTTTCATGGAATGCTAATTTAGTTACAATATGGCAGTTCATAACTACTGAAATGTGACATGAATTCATCTCCAATGCTGCAAAACAGTCTTGATTCATATATATTTGTTTTAAAACAATCTTATTTTACATAGTTGAGGTCTCTGGTGGTTTTTAAGCTCTGATGCTTAAGCACACAGCAGGCTACAAACCTTAGATTTTATATTTATACATATATTCTATGTATTTAGACAACCACTGTAAGTTATCTATAATTTAATATTTATAAAAGTGCATATACTGGTACATATGCACCTCTAGAACACACTTTACTACTGCCTCCCTTTTATAAAAAGCTGCTTAATATACAGCCATATTATTCTCACTCACTGCTATAAAGTCCTTTACTACCTTTGTTACATGATTTCAACTATTGAATTCCCTCAAACTGCATGTAGGTATTTCTATGTATATGTTTTCCTAAAGAAAAAAATCCTCCCCATTCCTTAAAGAAGTTTTAAATCATGCATTAGTTTGGTAAACAGTCACTTTAACGGATTTTAGAATCCTAGACAGTGTAAAATCTACTTCTGGAAAATGTCTGTCTATTTAATTTCTTTTAGTTACAAAAAAATATATAGAATTGAAACATACTGAATACATGCATCTCTCAAAGTGGCTATATTTTAGCCTTATAGATAAATTAAAAAAGTACACCCCTGTTAACAGGATGCAAACATGGCCTCAAATAGGCCATCACCTGTATTTAGTATAACCCATTATGTTAAAAAGTTCAAGTCAACTGTTCTCTCAGATGATGTCAAAAGTCTGAAGAGCATATTTAATATACAAAGGTGGGTACACCTACCTAGTGCCATTTAATTAGCCAACATTTTCAAGGCTTCTAGGCTTTGCCTCCGGTAATGCAAGTCCTGAAATGATCTGAATGAACGTTTAAGTTGAAAAGTTTTTTTAATACATCTTAAAAGCAAGTTGTGGTTAAAAGAAAAAAATGTACACTGCACAACCTGAAGTACTCACTGAAACATCTGTACAAAACTTCTATAGATACAGGAAGAAATAATGGTGGACTTGTTTCAAACAGAAGTAACACTTGTTAACATATGTAAAAACCTGCCTTGTTTTATTCCTCTACCCAGTAAGAATTTGCAGCTGTTCAGAACAAGTAAAATTGGAACCACCTCACAATGTTTACATTTAAAGTTTTTATACAGTGCAAATGTTTAAGACAGAGTAACTCCCCAGTGAAACAGGTGACACCTGAGTGCCAGTCTTCTGAAGATTCTTCTTTCAATTAAGTCTATTTACACATTAAGCTAAAGGTTCACTATTTATGCTTTGAAGTTTGCTGAATATCAGCAGAAAAATACGTGAACTAGCAGCAGTTGCATTAAGAATTTATGATGGTTATTTTAATGAATGCATAAAGTTTTCAAGACTGTATTCAGTGTCATACTGTTCTTGATCCCATAGTTCTCCAAGGTTTTCGAGCACTGATTTCATTGATGCTTTCCCAGAAGAGGTAGAGGTATCTGCTTTTTCAGTTTTTCCATCCTTCAAAAAAACAAAACACCAAATAAGAAACCCAGCATGCATGCACACATATTCTCTCTTAAAAGAACTTTTTCAGGTCATAACCACATATTCTTGGCTTCCCTTTACATATCATTACTACAGAATTCTCAGTCTGATGATTAATTTTGGCAAATTTCGCTTCCTGTTTTTCCAAGGGCTGCTTACTGTTCATCATTCCACTTCAAGTGTTCATCTGCTTAAGTTTCACATCTCAAAGCACAGCTTTTCCCTGAAGTTTTTGTCTATTTTTACTGGTTTGTTTTGTTTTTGTTTTTCCCCCCACAGATGATTATTTACCTTGTCAAGAGTGAACAGATCAAGAAGCTGTTCTGTTCCCATGCTTTGTAGGCTAGCATTTTCTTGGCTAATCACTGTATTTGCAATATTCATTTTGAACTTCTGAAGACCCATAATCTTCTCCTCCAGAGTTCCCCTAGTTATCAGGCGATATACATTAACAACACGTTTCTGAAAGAAAAAAGGAGTAGTAACGTATTTAGAAAAGTCTTCAATATTCAAGGTAGCAAAACATTTTATACTGTTCCTTGTGAACACAAGGAGCCCAGAGGCAGTTTGGCTTGGAGACACCCTTCAGTACACGTGTGCAGTTAGTGTGGCTGATACCAGGCCAGGAGGATGAGATGAGACTGTGCCAGCACCGGCAGAGGCAGCTGCAGTTCTGGCTGTGCTTGGGAGGTGGAAGTTGCTGCCCCGTGCACCTTTGGGGTGAGAGATGGTAGAAGCCATCACTATCCCTACTCAGGCAACCCTTCCATCTCCTGTCTCGGTGGCATCTTTCTCCACTGAAGGATTATTGCTCCCAGCGTCTCCTCAGCAGCTCAGGACAAAGGTGATGGGTGGAAGGGGAGAGAAACAGACTCACCAAGTTTGAGGATAGAACAAGTAAACAGACATCAACATCTTCAACATCTGACCAAAACAGGAATGAAAAGTAGAGGTGGAAACCACTAGAGGTCACTTGGATAGACTGTGTGATACATAATAGAAGTTCAAGAAAGGAGTTCAGTAAGGAAGCTTACAGGAAATTTAAAAGATTTTCACCTGTCCGATACGATGTGCCCGATCCATGGCTTGCAGGTCTCTCATTGGGTTCCAGTCGTGTTCCACAAAGACTACTGTGTCAGCCCCTGTTAAGTTAAGTCCCAATCCACCAACATGTGTGGTAAGCAAAAGAACATCTATAGATGGGTCATTATTAAACCTGCAGTTCAAAATAGAGAAGTCAAGCATGTTAAAATTAATTAAATATTGAAATCTCAAAATTACTCTGAAGTTTCTCTGCCAACAGTAGTCAATATAAAAGGAATAAAAGCATTAGTTCAGTAATTACTGAGTCCTAAAGAGACACCAGCTTGCAGCAGCTCTAAGACTCCTATTCACTAGCAGGAAAAAATGCAATAGAAATTTTACAGTTGGTCTCAAAGTTAAGTAAGTCTTAGTCACAAGTGAACAAAGTTATACATTTCCTTAATACTGTTTTCGAGCATTCATCATGGAAATCAAAATGAATATTTACTTTTTCCTAAACTAAAACATGTAGACCAGTAAGACTGAGGTTCAGATTTAATTACCTATCTGTGCTACGAAGTAACAGACAGGGCACAGTGCTGCGACCTTCAGTTTTGCCTTCCTGGGAGGCAAAGACTTTAGCTTCATAAAACATGTAAGGACCACAGTAAAATTTGTCAAGGATTCCAAACCAGGTGCCATCAGCCCTTTTCTTTCCCCTTCTAGAGGTACTTACAAGGGTCCGATGGCGAGATATCGGAGTGTCCCTCAGTTTGGGCAGGATTACATGGGAATATGAACAAAGCACAGGGACTCCAGCAGACAGGAATGTCATCTCTGTGCAAGGCAGGTGCCCCCTCTCCCCCACAACCTGCAATGTTTTGAGCAACTACGCTAGGTGGAACACCCTGGAAAACAGATATGTAGTTGGCCAAAGCTAGATGACGTGTGTAGGAATTGGGCAAAATTCCCAGGAAGGACACTGACAGTTACAGCTACTTTGGCTTTATTAAATCATTACAGAAGAGAGCAGTTCAGAGCATTTCTATGGTTACTAATAATCTGAACTACTCATGATGTCCTGAGGATCAGGCCATCAAAGTAAGGATCACCCAGAGTGAGGGGAAGAAGTGGTTATCACAGAACTAGGCACACACCAACATGTGGCATTTTTAGTTGTGTGGATGCAGGTAACTTCCCAGCTACTGCCTGCTCACTGTATCATCACTACCCAAAAGCAGCAGCACTCTGAAAATGCAAAGTAGCATCTTTTGCCAGCTTCTGCGCCAGGAGTGAATGAATTTGGTCTTCCTAAATCAGAATAAATTCTGTCTTACTAGAAATACTGCAGACTGCACAGGGAAGAGAGACTGACAGCCTGGTTGGGTTGTTAAGGAAATTTACAGTAATTTTATCTTTCAGCTCATGGCACTGTCAGCACCACTTTGCACCAAAACATACACAAGTTCTCACATTTCACTGTTCTCATTTGTTTTACTTAAATACTGACATTTGTGTTTAATTCCTATTTCAATAAGAGCAAAGCCTTTACTGAAATAAAATATAAGGACTCTGGGCTAGGTGTCAAGGAGCATACCACAACAGAACAGCAGATATGTTCCCATGTCATAAGTTATTTTAATTTGCTGTCTGACTTTTTAAATGTATTTTTTTTTTCCCAACAAGATATAGATCATCCCTCTGGTGTAACCACAGAATAAAAGAGCAGAGACTGCACAAGAAATCTGTAATCATCTCCAGGATCAGGATGATGAACAATGGATAGCACAGAACACTAAGTTAATGCATTCCTCTTAACATAAAGCTCTTATGCTAGTTGTCATAAAAGTACCCAAATATTCAGTTTTTATTTGCATTATGGTAATGTCTTTACTATTAAATTAATACAGGAAGACCAACTACTTACTATTTTCTTCATCAATAATGAGATATTATTATGTTTCTAAAGAGACACACCTAATTTTCCAAAACTGACAATACTTCAGTTTTGATGCAGTCTCCTGCTAATACGCTTTTACATACTCAAATAATTGAAACTAAGTTACACAGTGATGATCTGGCAGTCAGTTACATCAGTCCTACGTATTAATTTTATACTCCCATACACAGAAAAGTTCCCATGAGACAGGAGTAGTTTTGCACACGAATAAGGTGGTGGAGGGAGCAGCTCACCGGGACACGATGGAGTGCCTCTGGCCAGCAGGCATGCTGACATCTAGTCGCAGGGACGTGAGGCAGGTGGGGCTTCAGAAGGTCGTGCTCCACTATATCCAGCATGCTCTTGAGCTGGCAGAAGATGAGTATCCTGTGCTGGGCCACAACAGCTTCGGTGCCGCTCTCTGAAGATCCACCGTTCCCCAAACCGCAGTCCAGCAGCAGCTTAAAGTGAAAAAAAAAAAAAAAAAGGCATTAAAATAAAGATTGACACTGATGGACCTAAAGCCAGTAAGTTACAGAAGAAAACCTGTAAGTGATGGTGACTTCACAAACATAGTGGGAAATCTGACTACATTGCTAAACTACAAAGAATTTGAGTTTCAGAGCAAATTTTTGCCTTATATAAATTTTCTTCCAGATAAAACATTTTTAGTCCAACCTAACTTTATCAAGCTACTAATCTGTGTAGTAAATAGGAGCAAAGTCTTCCTTTAAAGTAAAAAGTAACAGTAAAAAAAAAAAAGTTAAAAACAGTTAAAAGTTTTTGACAAGACAGCAAAATTAAGTATGTAACATCACTGTCCCTCTAACTAGAGGGAAGCATGCCTGTTGACACAAGCTTGTAACACCCTCCCTGAGTTGCTTTACATCAAGGAGAAAGTTAGAAAAACTCAAGAAACTTTTGTACTTAGTTTCAGCTGCCATATTTTAAGAGGGGTTTTCAAACTGGTGGAGTCTTAAATATCTTCTAAACCATAACACCAGATGAAACACGCATTTATGAGACTTAGGGCCCAATATGCAGGTTTACTTACTTGTTTTAAAGCAGACAATTTAGGTGCATGCTGGATATCTCGAAGGGACGAATTATGAGCTGCAAGTTGCTCTGTAATTCTCTTATATTCTGGATGCTGGGTTGTTAACACTAATGCTGGATGGTTGCATAGTTTCCGTAAATATTGCAGAGCCTTCAGTTGATTTAGAAAAAGAAGTTCAGAGAAATGATTAGCAACAACAGTATATTACAGAAATAGCTAAGAACAAAAGCGATCCCAAGTATAGAGGCCTCTTGGCCACATTCCACAAGATAGACTTTCATTTTTATTCAAAACAGTCATGCCTTAACACAGAGAAGGAAAAACTCCACCACAGTACTTCAGACTGAAAGCCAGGGACTGTTAGGATTATAAAACTCTTGGTTCCTGCTGCAGGAGCTGGGCAGAGCCTTTCAGAGAGTTATTGTCTCCAAATACCAAGACTTAAATTGCAAATTTTACAAAACCATGCACCTTTATAAACCCTTCGGTTCATGCTGCTTTTAGTATCTTAATTTTGTGGCGTAGAGGGAATATTTTGATTTTATCAGTTTCTAGTTTTAAGGTTTTTCACTTTTGATAATCCATTCTAATTTGAGTATGTTACTTAATAAAGCCAACTATACAAAGCAAGCTAATTCTTTTAGTTTTCAGCTTTAAACAAACACAAAAAAGTTAACAGAAATAAACAAGCTAACCAGTAAAAGTTACTGAACTAATCTGTACCTGAAATACATGACCTGTAGCTTTCAGTTTGGGTTTTTCAGTTTCTTCAGTCAATGAAATTGATGAAACTGTTTCATCAATATCACATTTGGCACGAGACTTGGCAAAATCTTCATAAAGCTGAACCTGCAGATTAGGCCCCAGAAACAATTCAGTACCGTTTTCTTTCCCAAGAGAAAGATAAAAGAACGAGACATTTTTAAAACTTAGTTCCCAGTTCAAGTTATGAATCAGCATAAATCAAGAAAGCTCTTTTATATGTAGCACAAGATCAACCTTAAACAGTAGAATCAAATGGAAAGTTATTTGCTCTCAAAAAGAAAATGTTTGCCTCTGTAGTGGAAAACCCTGGTGACAGGACGAAGGGTAAGGGGTGCAAGTTGAAACACAGGAAGTTCCACCTCCATGTGATGAAGAACGTCTTTACTGTGAGGGTGACAGAGCCCTGGAACAGGCTGCCCAGAGAGGTTGTGGAGTCTCCTTCTCTGGAGATCTTCAAAACCCACCTGGATGCCACCCTGTACCATGTGCCCTAGGTGTCCCTGCTGGAGCAGGGGGATTGGACTAGATGATTTGTAGGGGTCCCTTACAACCTCAACCATTCTGTGATTCTGTGAAAGTTTTAAGAATTTGAAATGACTAGATATTCTTCATGGAGAAACATGTCAGAAATTAAGCCAAGAAAATATTCTAATATCACCATGATGAAATTAGTTTTGAACATGTACTAGAAGAACAAAATAAAAATCTGAGGTCCCAGAGAATGTCAGGGCTGACATTAAATTGACCCTGGAATACACAGCTGCCAAGTGGCTCCTTTGTGGTCTTAACTGTGCTGAAAAACAGCCCCTTCTTACTCATACCTGTAGAGGGCTGAGAATACAGTAATAGTCTTGAATAATTTTGGGTGGAAGATCTTGCAGTACATCCTCTTTCATTCTCCTTAACAGGAATGGCAGCACTTGGCGGTGCAGTGCTTCCATTGCAAGAACACCTAGTGTAAGAAACAGGAACAGTTAAGAGCTCCAGAGAATAGTTATTTTGAAATACTCACCACAATAAGCACCTGACATGCTAATGCTACCATGATTACTATTTTCACTAGCAATTCTTGTTTAAGAGAAAAGACAAGAAACCAGAGATTTACAGTTTGATCCTTACCAGCCTCTTGCTCACGACTAGAGCTTCGGGCATCTCTACTTGCCAATATTGGTTTGCCATAACGAGCTGCAAATTGGCGTTCGGTACCCAAAAATCCTGGCATAAGGAAGTCAAACAATGACCACAGCTCTAGGACGTTGTTCTGAACATGAAAGAAACATTTGTTAAATTATTTCCAAAACTAATAAATGGTTCCAAATTATCAGTCAGGAACCTTCGCATATTCAACACTGCTTGTAAAACACTGCAAACTTAACACCAACGAAGTTTGGAACACTTGGAACTCAGAGGCTGTTTGATCACCCTAAGTTACACGGAGACCCATTTGTACTATAACACATAAATGGACTTTCTACTGTGTCTGATGTCAGGGCTTATATGTCCCTACATCTAAGTACACAGAGGAAGAAAAAAAAGAAAAAAGTTTCAGGCATTTAGAAAGGAAAGACTTAATTTTACAAGCTTTAGTCTTAACAGGACAATTCTGATAAAGGCAGTAAACTTGACTGGCAGAAACCTCTCTTGTTTTCTACTTGGCCAACTTCTTAAGAGAGAAGAGGGGCTGGGAGGAAAGAGATGAGGAAAGACAGCCGTTTACCTGTATTGGGGTTCCGGAAAGAATTATTCTGTAATTGGCAGTCAGTTGTTTTACTGCTTTTGACAATTTTGTTTTTCCATTTTTTATTACGTGGCCTTCATCAAGAATGCAGTAGTTAAATTTAATATTTCTAGAAATAAAAATAGACTGAAATAGCATCAAAAAATCTAGAGACTATTAAAACTCCCAGAAAACAGACCAAACTCTTACTTGAAGAAGTCAATGTCATTTCTCACGACATCATATGAAGCCACTATGAGATTGTGTCTTTTCACCTGGTGTTGCAATCTTAAAGAAAAAAAACAGAACACATAATTAAGTGTTCCTTACATGCATGGTTTTATTTCCAACTTTCAATGTTTTACTGTGCCCATAAACCAAGCTTCAGTAGGGAAGTGAACTGCAAAGTTTTGTGCGATATTTTATTTCAAGCTACAAATACAAACTACATTACCTTGCTCATGTACAAATGTACATTTTATGTACAAATACAAACTACATTACCTTGCTCTTTCAGTAGGAGGTCCTGTATAGTGCAAAGGATTAAGATACTCTTTTGAGCAGAATTTTCCCACTTCATCCACCCAGTGTCCTGTAAGTGTGGGAGGGCACACTACCAAGGAGGGAAGAGGAACACTGTCCACCAGTTTTGTTCTTGCATATTCTTGAGCCCTTTAAGAATATTAGAACATGTTGATTTTTATTCCTCAAAAACATACCTTTAGAAGTTCTTAAGCTAGGTTGTTATTTATTTAAGCTTACCTGAGGCAATGATCTCCTGCAAGAATACAAATGGATTGTAAAGTTTTTCCTAAACCCATATCATCACAGAGAATTCCATGAAGTTTGTATTTATTGAGAAATGCCAACCAGTTTACTCCATCCTGAAAAAGAAATAAACAAGTGTCTCAGAGGGATTGAGAACTAGTCTTCCTAGCTAAGCTTCCTCCCAATCCATCACTGCTAAACTATGACTAGTTTCCCCCCACCCCAGACTCTCCACATAATACATTCCCAAAGTGCAGTTACAGATGTAACTACTAACTCAGGACCTGTCCATAAACTGGCCAAAAAAAAAAAAAAAAAAAAAAAAAGATTACCACAAACACCTCCACTCCAGCTCATTCACTCAAATCAGAGAGGAATAAATGGAGAATCCTAACAAATGCCAAACACCAGAATCAAGTCTGGCCCTGCAGCTGAGGTGCCCCAATCAACTTAAGTAAAGCACAGCCCATTGGACCTTCCTTGAGAAAAACGGTAGAACTGAGAAATCAGCATAAGTTTTCTTTTCTTTTTGAAGAATTCAGTAATTTCCTTACTTAACTCACTTTTTACAGAGAAGGCAAAGGACAAGTGTGTACTGTTTAGAGTAAAAGCAGAAAACACAAACTTCTGCTCTTCCATAGAACTCCATCAGATTATGCTTTTCTTTTAGAACTCTAAACTGTTACCTGCTGATATTTTCGAAGCTCTGCTTTGATTGGTACTGGAATTTTATAGTTCTCCAGTTTTTTTCCATCCAGTAATTGCTCCAGGAAGTGTCTTTCTTTAGCTTTCATTCGGATTAGTTCTTCAGACATGTTTGGTGGATCAGGAATAAAAAATATTTTTGAAAGAGCAAATCTTAGGACTGGAGCACTAAGTCTCACACAAACAGTGCAAATTAAAACATAATACCAGCTCAGACCTTTTAAACAATGGAAAGGATCTGCAATCTTTTCAATTTTATAGGACAAAGTTTTGTGCTATACTTGCTTGATTCCTTGTAGATCAATTTCTCCAGAGTTTTAGGAGGCACAAAAGTTCTGTCCCAAAGGAAGCAATGAAAAGTTTCCTAAGCTTGCATACAAGAGGGGAGATCCTGGAGCTATTCCACTTTAGAGTTTTATCAATTGGCTAGAAAAGACTGCTAGAAAAGCTCTGGGCAGGAAAAAGTATCATACAAGCAAGACAAAGACGTAGAAGGCTATCCAAAATACAAGAAGCCAATAAAGGTTAAGTGCCTGTACGTAACATTGTTTGACACGAGGCTTTAACACCAAAACCCTTGATCTACAACTTGTTCTAGATTGTAATGCACTGTCCATGTAGAAAAAAGCAAGACTTGCGTCTTTTGAAAATGCTGACCTCCAAGTGGAAACTGCTTCTTAACAGCAGTTGTCAGAATTGGGGCTTGATAAATAATTCTCTAAATACTCTATATGTCCACATTGAACTAGACACAGATGACCCTCAGGTTCATAGCCTCATTACGGAGGCAGTTTAGCCATATGATCTGATCTCCATGAGATGGAGATAATCCCAGAAATACTAGCAGTAGCCATACAAGTGGATTAAGTAATCAGACAAACTTTGCTGGCTCATTTATGACACTAGTATCCCTACACAATGAAAATATTCTGTGTTCCTTCTTTCTCATTCAGTTATGAGTAAGGAACCTATAGAAAGTAAGCTATTTAAGTACTAAAGATAGTTTCAGATTATGATTTTAACACACATGCCCCCCCCATACACTCCAGTACTTTGTTTTGGGAAATGCAATCAACAAGATTACGTCAAGGAAATGATGCCAAACCTACAAGGTAATTCCTGGCAGTCAGCTCCTTATTTACGTGCAGCATGGCACTTGTTAACAGGAGTGCTGTGCAGTATGAAAGAGTGCCAGTCATGCAGGACAAACTGGAGGGCAAATGCATTTCAGGAAGGCTGAATACATCTCTTGCATTAGAAGGTTACTATGGTGCTCTACAAAGCTGTCTCAGTGCATCTGATCTCCACTGGCAGTGTGGGACTCAGGAACAGTAACCTCTGCTCTGAGGACAACAGATAAGTCTAACAAGTAGGACATGGGTATTAGGCTGTTGTTGATACTCATGTCAGAAGCGGTAAACTGTAAGAGCATACAGATTTCCAAGCGTGCTTAGGTGTGTGGTTGTCTCATACTGATTGTCTTCTATTAAAAGCACTTTAAATTTAAAGCAGCAGGGATCCCACAGGATTCCACACTTAAAGGCATTTAAAAAAAAAAGGGCCACTGTGAGGAATAGCATTACAATAACTAACATCGCGCTGAGAGATTTCAATGAGAAATTCTGGGTTTCATTTTCAGCAACTTACAGTGAAAGCACATAGAAAAAGAAAAGAACAGTTTAAAGGAGGCTGCTAGTTATCAAAGGCTCTGTTATGCTGAATAAAAACAAAGGCAGGAGATGCTAAACTCCTTAAATTCAAAGTTTTCATTAAAAACATGCAAACAAGCTCTGAACTGTCTTCTATTACCATCTACTGGTGAAAACAGGTTACACACAAGCCTTGTACTCTTTCAAGTACAGTATTAGAAAGTATGAGTTATGCAAGTTGTAAAAGGCATGAAAGGCTTTTTAGTTTTCCAAAGAGCTAGGATTATGTAACAATGTACTCATTTTGACAATTTTTCCATTACTGCCATCTCATTTTTCCTTTTAAGTTCCTTTTCAAGTGTATTTATTTGTATGCATTTCTCCTCATACTCAGCATACTGAGTATGAGCATTCTCCTCATACTCAGCAGCAG